TAACTGTCTTGGTTCCCGCAACGAAGTGAATCAGAAGATATTATAAGAGGAGAAGAAGAAAAAATTATCGATTCCCGGGTAGGGCAAAGTATTATTGTTTTTTTTTTTAAATATCAATAGTAGCACGGGGTCTGGAATTGTGCCCGGTATATGGCAATAGTCTCACCCCCTATTAAATGGGACTCAAAAACATTAATAGTGAGAAATGGGTGTTACATTGTACAGTGTCATAATGTACATCTCTGCGTACCCCTTCGGGGATAAAAGGCGTGATATTATGTTTTGTTATGTAATAAAGTTAAAATGTTAGTTAAAATGTTACAATTAATAGGAACTAATTGCAAAAATGCTTACAACTAGGTTAACATATATTATCTCTTAACGTATTATTATTATTTCTCAGCTTCATTCACTTACTTATCATTTTAGTGACTTACTAAATAACCAACGTACTTAAAATTACACATATGATACTTTCAGTGTCAGAAACTCATCTAAGGTGTAGCATATCACTCACTTCTTCTCTGCACCTTTCATTTAGATACATTAACTATTTATGATTTTGGTTTTGCTTGCCTGCCTATATTTGATTGAGTGCACGGTTGGTGCGGTGACTGGGCAACCGCCTGCCGTGCAACATGTCGCAGGTTCGATTCCTGCACGGAACAGCACTTTGTGTGATCCACAAATTGTTGTTTCTGGTCTGGGTGGTATGTGTATGTGAACTTGTATGTTCACAAACGCACCCATAACACAGGAGATAATACTAGTGTGGGATAACGTTTCTAAAAAAAAAAATATCGCATTAATCGCATGAATGCACCGATATAGGAGAGAATAGAAAGCACATTTTGTCTCGCGTGGATCCACGATTGAACACACGAATGCTTAATCAAACATTCATTATATTTATTCATATAAACATTCATTATGCTTCTAAGCGAAATTTATAACCCAAATGGATTCCAAATGAAATTATTAATAAAACCAGTTTGGTCTGGTCTGCCAATGATTCGCAAAATTGTTTAGCAATAGTTAAGTTTAAATGAAAGACTATGCCGGTAAAATGTGGTGGGAAATGAATTATTTTGTCAGATTAAATAAGGTCGATCCACAATCTATTACTCGAATTTCTCGTTGTCATTGATCTCGGAGTCTTGGGTGAGGCAAGAGAGAGGGGTTTTTTTAAGGGGGAACATCATCGAAGAACTGCTCTCGTCTGGGTGAGGCGGGAGGGAATGTCAGACTCTTACTGACTAAAAACCACCCCGTTCCTTCTGCTGCACGTCGAGCCGGAGCCCCGGTAACCCGTTAGGTTCTCCGCGACGCGACGAGAGAAAGGGTTAGACTCTTAATTACTGACTAAAACCACTCCATTCTTACTCCTACTTATACACGGATCCGCGGCTACCCATTAGGTTGTCCACAGCTCCCGATTGATTGGATACTGAGCCAATTAATGGCAATAAGAAAGTGAAAGGAAAATAGCAAGAGTTACTGTTTCTGTACTAAATAAATCTTCATTTTCGTACTTACATACCAAAGACTGGTCTAGCTATTCGTAGATATGTCATGCGGGTCACGCCATCTACAGAAAGTAATTTTCTTTATATGTAGATTTCACCGACCAACCGCAACCGTAGATTTCAAGAAAGGTTTACCGGCTATTATTTAATCATACTAGCCGTTCGGGACTGCCTCGTTGGCCGAGTGGTTCGATTCTTGGGTCTAGTAGCGCGGAGTCGGGGACTTATGAGTCCCATATAATAATCACTTCACGCCTTTTATCCCCGAAGGCAGAGGTGCACATTACGTCTAAGACAGGGGTCCACGCGAGACACAATTGTTTTTTGGTTTTTCATTCTAAAGGTTAATGCCACGGTACAATGTATGTTATGTTCTGTTATTTAATCAACGTTTCTAACTTTCAGAGTACGAATACAATGAACAGTTCGGTAGATGTTACAAGTTCCACCTGAATCCATTGAACTGGACTGATGCTTACGCTGTGTGCAGCGCTGAGCAGTCGTATCTCGCTGTTATCAACACGCAGGAAGAGGCTAATTATCTCGTGGCCCTGACAGAATCGAAGCCTAAGGACAGGGTACCAGGAAACTTCATGAGAGGAGCTGTTCACTTGGGCTTCCATAACAGAGCCAATGAGGGTTGGCAAGCTGTTAGAGGTATGTGAATATGGGCATTTCAACTTAGTTTTTACTGAAATGAATGGTTATCTGGTGGTTTTCATAACTAGCACGTTGCCGATTTACCTTCTCTTCGAAAACTAAAGCGCAATTTACAGGGTTGAGCATCAGTCAGGACAAGAACTCTTATTTATTAAACGTACATCTTACATCGCTACTTCACACTAGTAACAGGTTGATACCTACTACCCGGTCAAGAGTAGGATGGTAGTGATGATGATAAGATGATACCTCTTCATTCGTTGCATATAGCCAGCTAGGTTCTACCACTTTTTCTCGTTAGAAAATCTTTTCTTGTTTCTATGAGCATATGAGCATGATGTCATTACCAGATTTAAGACTACATTTTATGTCTACACTAAAATGTTTTCAAGTTACGTCATTAGCCACAGCTATACAAGAAATCTAGCTTTGAGAGAAATATAGCAGACGTATTTCAAATATGGATAATTCTGCTTCAATTACAGGTACAGCATTAGATGACACTGGATACACATGCTGGGGAACAAATCAGCCTGATGGCGGTGATCTGGAGCAATGTGGTTCCATGTTCTACAATGGACTACTAAATGATATAAGTTGTGATACAAGATCCTTTTTTATCTGTGAACATGAGGTAGATACCCTAAGCTCTTCATTAGATGATCGTTTCGGAGAGACTGTGGTTTGATCCTAACTAGATTTTAAACGTAAATCATTTTGACTGGTTCTATTCACAATACTCTTCGTTTAAGATTTCAGTCTCAAGTCAAGTCAGTTTTTCCATTTGATGCAATTATTATTTACTTGAATTAGTACTAAAAGTTTATGTACAGTGAGCAGCAGGTCCACCTGTCAAATTTCTATATTCGATTTAGAACTCTATTGTTTAGATAAAAAGTCGAAAAATTGAAAATTTGTAGTATGTTTAATGTATAATAACTATCGTGAGACATACTTAATTAACTAAAAATCGTGGGTTACTCACGTGAATATACTGAGAAAAGCTCTACTAGTTTCGAACCACAGAGGGGTTCATGAGCAGCGTGCGCGGTCGCGGCGATGTTGCGCAGCCTACTGGCTAGCGTTGTCGCACGCATCGAAGAAACTAGTAGAGCTTTTCTCATCGAGTAACCCGCGAGTTTTAGTTAATTTGAAGTATGTTGATGTGGCGATTGTACTAAGTAGGCTCTACGACTATGTGTTTTTTATTTTAGTGTATTTACAAGTAGATATATGTATGACTAAATATGTTTCTGGAAGTCTAGTTGCCACTGCCTAAGCGTTACTTATTGGGCTAACTGCAGTCATAAGATTATCAGACCTTTAAATCTCAACAAAGCCACCTAGCAAGAACTTTAATATAAATACTCATTGAATATAAAATTTTATACCTAAGTGGAAAGTTGTAATACTTTTTTGTATACGTAGATATTACTTGACGAACTTGTACTTAAGTTTAAGTAAAAAATAGGAATTCATGGAAAATACTCAGTCGTAGATATTTTATTACAGAATTTTAATTGTGTCTTTCATAGTTGGTAGTAATAAAACTAATTTATAATTGTTAAAACATTATATTTGGTACGAGTATTATAAAAATGTATTATAAAATTTACAAAAAAATCACTATAACAGTATGTATTGTTTTTTTTTTATTTGTCGTGGATCGTATCGTCTTACATTCTATTGTCAACTGTATATTTATAACCATACTTCTCAAAATTAGACGTACACATAAAACCACTAACAAAATAAGACGAATCCAGTTCAGTCTATTTAATATTTTTTTTTAAACCCAAATACAAAAATTACAAATATGTAAGTACATACTAACTATTCTACTCCTACCTCTTGCATTTATCAAATGTTACAATACTATTTTCGAATTTGATAAAAATATCTTGATCACCAACTCCCAATAAAAAATTTATTCATTAAAAAATTTTTGCTTTTTATTTTTAAAAAGGGTATACTTTTGAATGAATTATTTGTCTTATCCAATATAATTTGTTTCTGGTCTAGACCAGTGGAACCTTCGTAAGTATATTAAAAGTTACCTAGTTACAGCGTTTTTAAATAGAGATGACACCTGGTCAAATTCAATGTTTTTTCTAAAACATAATTATACAAAACGATGATTTTATACGGATTGTGTAACTCATACAAAAATTATTATGAAATTATCAGAGTATCTAACTAATTAACGTCAATTGGACTCATATTTCTAAAAAACAATAAGTTTCAAACGAAATGGAATTTTCATTATTTTAGATTTTTTTGGGTTTATTTATTGCACATCTTTGAATACATTTCATTACACATCTTTGAATACTGCTTTGCCGACTAATGGTAGGTATCGAACGGCCGGGCCGCCGTACGAGAGCAGTTCCCGAGCTGGTTCGAAGTAAGATACGATCCAGTACAGCAGCACGAGGTAGAAGAATAAGGATACCAAGCGGTCCAGGATGTACAATCTGGAAAGATAGCAGTTATATTATTTATACGTCGCAGCCACACAATTTAAATAGACCTATAATTAACGGTCTGAATGACTAGCCATTTGATTGAATGACTGAATTTCTCGCTCTAGTTTCAGGCTGAAGGGCTTATTAAAGGTAAGTTGCTACCAGAATTGTAGGTTTGGTTATAAAACGATAAAATAGACATCCCTCAGCACGAGTACAACTCACTTGGGTTGGTTTAATAAGTGTGGCAGAGCCATGCTTCGGCACGAATGGGCGGTCACGGCCTCACAGAGGACTGACGTGTAGCCACGCTTGCGTTGTGTTTCGACATGTAAATGAGGGAGGCCTAATTACCCCTTCCCCCCGTTCCCCGATTCCTTAATCCCCAACAATCCTCAAATTCCCAAAAGGCCGGTAATGCACTTGTAACGCCTCTGTTGTTTCGGGTGTCCATGGTCGACGCCAGTCAGGTGATGCGTCTGCTCGTTTACCGGCTTATTCCATAAAAACAATGTTTCCTACATGAAATACGATAAATTTTCATGTGCTCCTTTGTAAAACATCCCCGTAACATTAATCGCTGATTGGTTGGGTAAGTGGGAGTGAAATGTGAAATGTAATGGGTCACTTATATAGTCTCAAATACCTATTTTTGACGCCTAATTACTAAATTACGAGGATAGCTTAATGATAACTTCTTGTACTAGTCTCTTTATTCAAGCTGCTGAAGATGATGATGAGCTTCACGCAAAAACACGTATACTTACATTTGGTTCTGCAATCTGGCTTTTGGCAAGTTCTCCAGTTTTTCTTTCAAGCAGTACAGCTTGCCTCCAATCATGCAGCTCTCTATGTAGGGTTCATCCTCTATAATGGTCGTATCCATTGGGAACGTCTCCTTGTCAACAGGGTTCAGTATATTAACCAAAGACTTGAAGTTGTTTGTATCGAACCACCATTCCCGAGTCGTGAAATATTGGAGAACTTCCAAACCGATAGAGATCCTATTCTGAATTCGAACCATGCTGGAAGGAGATAGATACATTTTAATCTTAACGTTATTACTTCGGACGTCAGTAAAAGCCTTCTCATCAAAAAATCCATCAGTACATTCGATGTTCAACAAAAAACGTGTTTGCTCTTTAAAGTAATAACATAAGTGATGCCCCTTTTCGCTTAAATTATTCAAAGGGTCTCTGCAGGTTTCGGACACTCTACGCCTTTTAAAGATTCGTGACCTTATGGTCCTGTAAATAGAAGCTTACATCACTGACAGACTTGTGGACATAATATTGACAGTATACCTCTACTTCTTCCTGATTCTTCAATGGCTACAATAGTAAAGTTAGACAAGCGCAGCACAGCATAACAAAAAAACTCATAATAAAATACTCACAATCGCTTCTGTCTGAACAAAAACATGAGGAAGTCAATGAAGTAGGCAGGTATAATATGATAGAAGAAGACACACATGTCATGTATAAATTTGTTGTGTCTAATGTTCCCGTCGGGGTACCATAGAGGACCTTCGAATGGGAACTTGCGAACAGTAGCCTTGCCAATGTCTAGGACTTGCTTCCACGTCGTGTTGCGGTCGTCTCCAGTCGTTAGGTTGTATACTGGAATTTCGGGGTGCCTGTAAGAGTCAGAGATGTTGTCATCATCAACAGCCTGTATGAGTCCATCCACTGGACCAACTGAAACTCTTCTACACAAGCAAGATTTGCGATGTTCAAATGGGTTGGAAAAAGTAGTTTAAGGGTCGTATTTTCAATCATCAGTTAATTCTTAACTGTAGAATAGATTTGACATTTGATAGTTTTTAGTATGGAAGAATTGTCAAATATTGAAAGTTGTTTGTCAATTAAAATTTATCTGAACATTCGAATTGGAATCGGCCCTAAGAGGATTATTTCATCTGAGAACGCTCCGACTCGGTCTCTGTGACTGTCTGTCTACCCTTAGTGAACTGTTCTCTTCTTCTCTTTATATCTTTATAACACTTCTCTTTATAAGTAGGTACTTTATGAACTTTGTAAGCAATTCAGTTAACAATTAAATTAAACTAGATAAGGTTGGTGTTTAATACCTAGATATTTGACTAATTTGCATGAAAGATCAACTAAAACTCAGACATCAAAGCCTCGTTTAAGTATCTAAGGTATAGTTATATCGATATCCAGATTTCGAATGTAAGAACAAAATTAAATAAACAGACTAACTAAAAAATCTGTTGAATAAAATCAGTTCAAATCATACACAGTTATAGTAGGTAATTAAAGTCATACCTCTGAGTATCCTTGCCAGTTTTGTAGGCGATCACAATGATGCTGTTGATGGCTATGTCAACAGGAATGACTTCCGCATGGTAGTGGCCATAGCAATGCATGGATCTGATGACGCCTTTACCTGCGCCCACCATGAGGCCAATTGGACCATTCAGGTTGTCCACCCAGCCTGGAATAGGCTCCTTGTACGATGGAGTTACTAGAAAAGTGATTTAGAAATAAGGGTTAAGTTAGTCAGTAGTTATAGTAGGGTAATAGATATAAATGGAAAAATACTGAACAATGTGTTGCTGTAAACAGAAAACAAAACATAAAACAAATATCAAGCGGAATAAACATTTTTTATTTTAAGCTTAATAATTATAATAGTTAGAATATATTTAAGGTACTACGTTTGGACGTAGTTCTTAGGGTCGTTACATACCTATGCTAGGTCGAACAACAACAGTAGGCAAACTCGGGTAGCTCTCTCGGACCAGAGCTTCAGCCAATCTCTTGGAGTACGTATAGGAGTTCGGATGCTTTTGGTAAATGGAAGGTGCTAGAAGGTTCAGCTGTTCCTCCGTCAGCCAGCCAGCTGCGCGAAGCACCTCGTGCGGATCCGTTGGAGGATCGAACACCTGGAAAAATAATCCAAATATTGGACCCACGGATATGTCGTGGCTGCATTTTCGAATACATGGTCAAGTTATCGATAATATTTCAAAGATACAGGAAAAAATCGTAGTGTAGTATCCTAATCTTAGTATAGTTTTACCTTTTCAGCCATTCTCTTATAATCTGGATAACAGAAGGCAGTAGATAAGTGTATGAAAGCGACGAGGCTTTTCATCTTCTTGGCCATCTCCAGGACTCGCAGGGTGCCATTTGTGTTCATCTCTAAACCCTCCTTCAGAGGTGCTTCTAGACGCAGGCTGGCCGCAAAATGGAATACTATTGACACCTAAAAACGAAGTGAATAAAGTAAGTGCACGTTCAAGATAAATACATATGTATTATGTACTAACTTCTAAAAGACAGATTAAAATTTTACTGATTTTTGGCATCAATATCGATTCCTAATTGCCCCCTGATACTTACATTTTTTTTAAAGGGGGAAAATGATCGAATGACTGCTCGCGCCTGGGTGAGGCGGGACGGGAGGGAATGTCAGAATCTTACTGACTAAAAACCGCCCCGGTAACCGGTTTGATTCTCCGCAACTCCGTATATGATACTTATTTTGGAAATTTATTTCATGTACAGAATTGGCTTCTCTACAGTTTTATTACATGTATAGATATAGATTATCTGTAGTTATTAACTTTAACTTAATTTTTTTTTTAATTTATTTATTTAAGGAACTTTTAACAAATTGTTACACCAGTTCCATCGAAACCTTATCTAACAAATACACAATTACAAGGTAACTAATGAATACACCAATATAGCTTCAGGTGACATTGGTTGACCCAAGATTACATTAAATGTACCTAAATCTAACGTATTTATGTTAAGTTCACAAATTAACTTGCTCCTTTCAGATTCATTTCTGACACACTCCACCAGAAGATGATATACATCCTCTACTTTATTATTACACACTAAGCAATTCGGAGAGTCCACAATTCCCATGAGGAAAGAGGAAAGGAAAGAAAGAAAAAACTTAAAATGTTGCACTCCTTTTTGTGACAAAAACGAAGACTAAATGAAAGTTTTATACAAAATAGATGGTTCGGCAATCGTTTATCGTGCTTCAGTAAAATGAAATGAGTTAATTTTGTTACGTCAGGTTACATCACAAAGTCTATATAGAAGAATTCGTCTGTATGTATTCGTGTTAGCGTTTTTGTAACTTAAAAATAGCAGAGCTGAAAGGTCGTCAACGATTTCAAAGTCACTTATAATTGAGTACCTGAATTTTTTATAAAAACTGATTAAGTTATTATGAGGAAATACAAAGTTAACTAGTTTTTGAGTTGAGTAACTCACCTAGAGTCTAGAGGTTTTGAATACTTTTAATCCTTTCTTAAACATGATTGACGAGACAAGCCATGCTTACGAGAATTATGAATAACGAAATTTATTGGAAACGAAAGTGATTGAAAATAATCCGCATAATAGAGGTAGAGTTGTAATTCATGAATTTATTAAAAAATGTGTCTGACATGTTACGTTAGAAGTGTTAATTAATTCATATTTTGATATACGAGAATTTCTAAAACGTTATACCTACCAAAAGAATTATGTTGTTGTAGATATTTTGATTAAAAAAATCAGTAATAGGTACTTTATTTAAACTGTCAAACACCAAGCGGTCACCGGTGACCGCAACCTATTGTTCTATAATTGTGTCTATAATAACGGTACTCGACGAGTTAATCCGAGAACTAAGAGCAAAACTTCAGGCTTCGTACTTGGGCTTCAAACACTTAAAACTCTCTAAGCCAGAGAAATTGGTGACAAATAGGTCATGTGCCATCATGCACAGCCAAGCTGACAAAAGACGTAAATGTTTTTAGAAAAGTACTGTGTCGTGAGGGTGCCCTAGTGGGTGCCTCTAGAACTTGTCAATTCAGCAAATAGGTACCTCTGTACAAGTCGTTACCTCTGAGTGGTTTTAGTGAGAATTAAATTGCACTCTTTGCTGGTCTTTCTTCCTAAAAGTCACAAAAATTAACTAAAAATCGCGGGCTGCTCACGTGAATATACTGAGATAGTTTCGAACCACAGAGGGGTTCTTCCTCATGAGCAGCTAGTAGACCTTTTCTCAGTATATTCACGTGATTAACCCACAATTTTTAGTTAATTCAGTATGTCTCATGATAGTTATTATAAAAACAAAGTCACAAAAAATGTACAGTTCATGTTTTAACTTTTTTTCAATTTTGGTCAAGATAACTAAATTTGTTTTTTTAAATAAGCCGGTAAACGAGCAGACGAATCATCTGATGGTTAGCAATCAGCGTCGCCCATGGACACCTGGAACACCAGACGCGTTACAAGTGCGTTACCGTCCTTCTGGATTAGGAATTTGAGGATTGTTGGGGATTCAGGTATTGGGGAAAGGTGGGAGGGGGGGGGGTAATTGGGCCTCCGGTAACCTCACTCACATGACGAAACACAACACAACGTTGTTTCTCGTCGGTCTTCTATGAGGCCGTGGTATCACTCCGGTCGAGCCAGCCCATTCGTGCCGAAGCATGGCTCTCCCGCACTTATCATCATTAAATGATAGTCGGGAGTCTCGATGTTGCACGGACAGGTTTTTCTTAGTATCAATAATGATATCGTCGCAAAATGCACTTTCCTTTACATTATTGCTTTCACTGTTTGCATAGGTTATATGTATATTTCTAGGAAACATCTGATTTATTGCATTGTCAATCGGTCGAAAAGTTTGCTACTGTTGTAAGAGGAGCAAGTTCGTGCTGAGTGGAAGGCCATCATGAACTATTACTGCGATTCAATCGATGACTTAAAGTAAACTGCTCTGGTATTAATGTTAATGACGTTATTAATGTTGTTTGGGTTTGGGAATGGAATCGCAAACTGATTTCATTCTTTCTTTTTTCGTACGAAATTATAGACTGCTATAGGCTAAATATCTTAAATTTATCTGGTGTCCGTATCATTAAAATAGAAATCTTTGTAATAGGGTAGATGCCTAAATTTTATTTTAATGTCCGTATGGTACATTAATTTAAAACATTACACACTTTTTTTTCTTTTCTCACGAAATTAAATACTTTCGACGATATAACAATCTGAAATATCGTGTGATGTCACAATGCGCTACATTTTGTAGCACTTAGTGACGTAACGACGTCCCACTCCTAAACTTAACCCCATTGTATCTAAGTATTGTAACTGTATACTATAAAATAAAAAATACGTGTCTATAATTTTTTATTTTCTAACTGACGGACTAATTCGATTTTTAATTTTTATTCCCTGGCCACTACCCTATTGTACTCATTGTATGGCATAAGGCTTGTTGCCATTGTGTTCATAATTTAACAACGTTTTCCATTGTTTCTGTTCACCTTTATTGAGATTATGTAACTTTATGTGTATGTGTATAATTCTAAGATCTGTTAGCCTTGCCCTTAGAAAGGTCAAACATAATTATGACATCACATTGTACCTCTACTATAGTAATTGTTAAGGAAACAATAGATTGAATAATTGTAAAGTTTAAGTAATTTTTAAAGCAGATATACATAATATTAAATAATATTGTACTGTGGAGTGTGGTAACGGTAGAGATTTACTCTTCCCGCTGATGTCGAATCCGCGGAGTAAGGGACTACTTGTTTTATAATGACCAAGGACCGAAATCAACTATGCAATACTGTCAGCATGGTCAATCATAGAGCAGTGCAAGAGTTACGGAGCTATTAGACTTTATAGCTCCGTCCCTCTTGCACTGGTTTTTGTTATTCTGGCAAAATTGTAATAGCAGACTAAGGTCCCAGGTGGACTCTGGTAAACCTAGACCTTTTTAAGCTAACCGGGGCTCCGGCTTGACGTGCAGGAGAAGGAACGGGGTGGTTTTTAGTCAGTAAAAATCTGACACTCCCTTCCGCCAGGAGCAGTCATTCGATGATTTTCCACCCTTAAAAAAAAAGAAAAAAAAAGACCTTTTTAAACTACGATCTCCGACCTTTCTGTTGAGCATAAATATAATCGCAAACCTTAGTATGTAGGGAGGCCCTTAATCCAGCGATATATTCTCACGACTCTTCTGATGATAACATTAATGCTAAACATTTTATTTTAATAATAGTTAGTTTTAATGTCATTCAAGTTTTTATTTGACTAAAATCTTCAGGACAATGCCAAAACATAAATTAAAAAGACTCTCTCACCTCATTGTAGATGTTCTTCAAATGCTCAGCAGATATGCCCAGTTCATTGTACATTATGTCGCCAGTTACTGGGATCAGCTTCTTCATAACATGTGGCTTCTCCTCTCTTATTCTTTTGAATAGCTGGAAGTATTAACGGATTGTGAGAAAACGGGTTCGTTTAATCAGATCTTAGTGATTGTTTTTTTCATAGATGCGTCATTATGTGATGTTCAAGGTGTTTTAAGGTTATAACATAGTTTTGGTACTTCGTTTAAGTAAACGTTGGCCCACATTAGGATTTCCTCCTGTGTCGTGGGTGCGTTTACAAACATACAAGTTCACATACACATGACACCCGGACCCAAAACAACAATTTGTGGATCACACAAAATGTTGTTCCGTGCGGGAGTCGAACCCGCGACACGTTGTACAGCAGCCGGTTGCCCAGCCACCGCACCAACCGTGCAGTCAACCAACATTACGACACTTAATGCCACTGTACAATGTTACACCCACTTTTCACTATCACTATTTATGTGAATACAACTAGTTTCATGTAATAGAGGGTGAGCCTATTGCCATATACCGGGCACGATTCCAGGCTCCGTCCTATTGCTGATTTTTTATAAAAACCCAGTTGTACTTCGCCCAACCCGGGATTCGAACCCGAGACTCGGTGAATGACGCAAACGTCTCTCTGTCTAACGTCTAACTCTAACTCTAAAGTCTAGTTTTTTTTATAAGGATGTGCTTCATTTTCTAGTGCAATATTCTGTCAACCATTGATGATCAATACATTAGGTACACTAACATCAAATCCTTCGAATTAATTCAATCCTTAGTTTGTATTAATAAACATGCATTGTGTACGTAATAAACTACAAGAACCCTGAACCAACTTCAACTGCATCGAACAGGTACATGACCATTGCTTAACTCACAGGCAGTTTCCACATGTCTTCGATGCGTGTCTCCGGCGACTTGCCTCGCTTCGACCGTACCAGTGCGTACACGCAGCCGACGTCAGGTACACTGTATAGCAGTTTCTCAATCAACACCTTGCCCATTAACCCCAGGGCACCAGTCACTAAGACACTCCGACCATTGTACCACTCGTTCACTTCTGACGCCATTGTGTGCCCTGAAATTAAGAAAAATAGGTTAACTCCTTCAACTACCTATGCATTTAGATTTAAATGTAGGTACATGAGATTGATTTCAACTACAAAGGGTGCTTACCGCTGCGGTATCGACCCTTACAGATTTGTTTAGGCGTTTGAACCTGTTTTATATGTAAGCAGTCTTATCCTATACCAATTAGGTACTTTCCTTAATCAAATATATTTAAATTCTTAAAAAAATAGTCAGTCTTTCATTAATTGATTTAATGACCAACTTAATTTTAGTATCTTTCCAGCATTTTTTTAAGAAATAAGTATGCTGTTTGACTCTAAAAAACGTGACGTCACAATACACAATCTCGTAGAAAATTCACAGAAAACGACAGTTCGAAAACAGCATTGAATTTGACTAGTTGGCAAGTACCCAATTCATATAAAATTATTTACCTCTTTATAGATAAAGACGCCTTGACTGATGAATATTATGACTTAAATAGGGTAGATGCCTAATTTTTATTTTATTTCCCCTCTGGTAGATTATTTTAAATCATTAGATACGTATTTTTTATTTTCTTACAGAAACAAATAGTTTTGGCGATATATTGATTTGAAATGTCGCGTGACGTCACTTCTATGTACATTTTATGCGTAGAAATGACGTTTTAGCCCCCTCTAATCGATTTGGAGTCGCGGAGAACCTAACGGGTTACCGGGGCTCCGGCTCGACGTGCAGGAGAAGGAACGGGGTGGTTTTTAGTCAGTAAGAGTCTGACACTCTCTCTCCCACCTCACCTAGGCGGGAGAAGTCATTCAATGATTTTCATCCCTTAAAAAAAAGCCCACTAATAAACTTTGATTCGTTTTATCTAAGTATTGTTTTATTATACGACAAAATAAAAAAATACGTGTCTAATACTTTTTCATTACCTAACTTATGAATACAAATAGATTTTTAATTTTCATATCCTGTCATCATCCCAATCCTGATAACTTTTGAAAAGATATAAAACATAACTTTGTTTGTTGTGATGCGACATTAGTTTGCCAATATTTAAAACATGTTCATAGAAATATAATGTGTTCTCTACATAAGCTTTTTAGGCGATTTAAAAACTCATATCGACTGTGTTATAGTGACCTGAATGATGATCGTCTGCAAACTTTACCGCACATCACATTAGGGACATGCGTAATGCAATTTGTAACGCCACAATCTACCTTCAAGACTCAAGAAATATGAGAAATTGCATCAACAAACGGTAACGCCAAGTATCTGAGAAACGGTTAAGTAATACTTAGTTTAAGAAACTTTACGTGACGCAAATACTGGAGTTTAACTATATACTTAACCTGTGTTTATATGATTAAGCAAATAAGTAGGTATAAGTAAACGATATGAATTTGAACTCCCAAAGAAGTACGTAAAAATGGGAAAGAGACCATGAAGTATCTATAGAAAATCTATAAAAATCGAAACTTTATAGGCGGTTAGCTTCACTAAATCACAAATTAATAAATAGTATCTATATCTACTTTATAACCTACTTTTACTGATTTTCAAGTAAGCATTTTTATTGAAGAGAAGACTTTCATAGTTTAATTTTTGTGTGTCTAATATAACGCTTACTTTTGACCTATTATTAACAAAGCAAAAATCTCTGCACATCACTGAATTCGACTTACATAAGAATCGACACCGATAAACCACGTTCACCTCAGTATCACTTGTCTTGTAGCCAGTCAACTAATATAGACAGTTGCAATATCGAAATGAAATAGTTACCTAAATAAACGTCTTACTTTTGTTCATTTTAGACTCGAAAGTGAGTGGTCTAAGCTCCCTTACGCACTAGCGGTCAACCGCGCGGTGGGCCGCTCTATGCTATGGCAACCGCGTCTGTCGATATGAATCACCTAGGCGGTCAACCGCTAAGTGCGTAAGGGGGCTTAGTCTGGGCATTGAAAGAGAAATTACGTAGAAACACGAAGTTTTGAATTAAGCTCGATAACTAGTACCGGCTTGTCTAGCCACATTCTACAACGAGTACTACTACTATATTTGTAGTAATATAACTGTAATAGTAGTAACCTAATGGTAGTAACACACTTTCGCCAATCATGACTTGAACTAAATGGTACTTAATCTGTGAATTTTGTGAATATAAGATTGTTTCAGATTTCCGGATGAATGAGTGAAAGGACTGATTATTACACAATAATTTTAAAATGTTAAATAGATTTTGGCATACCTATATATTGAGTTAAAGTTAAATAAATGGACATAGTTACTATGTGTCTAGAAAAAAAATACGATTTTGATCATCATCATCATAACATCCTGCCTTTTATCCCCAAAGGGATAAGTAGAGGTGTACATTACGGCACTTAATGCCACTGTATAATGTAACACCCACTTTTTAATATTTATGTTTTGAGTCTCATGTTATAGAGGGTGAGCCTATTGCCATACCGTACCATACCATACCGGGCACATTTCCAGACTCCGTTATAGTTCCAGACTACATTATAATGTTATAATGTAGAACCTAACTGGTTACCGGGACTCCGACACGAAGTGCAGGAGAAGGAACGGGGTGGTTTTTAACAAGTGAAACAAGTGAAACAAGTGAAACAAGTGAATTTATTTCTGCAAATAGGCTACAAGGCAGCACTTTTACACGTCAATTTTATCAAGCGAACGATGAGGTCGACATTTCCTAACTGACTACTCTGAGAAGAAATGCCGAAACAAACTCAGAGGTCTGTCTCTTTTAAAGTCCAGACAATATGTATAACAGATTATGTGTGAGAACCGTGCCAGTTCTTTCTGTAGTGGGCTTTTGAGGAAAGAACCACAACAGTTTGAGCGGACCCGTTCTGAAGGCAGTACGCATGTGTCGGTTTACAGTCAGCTCAATTAACAGGTGAGGCTGACTGATTCGACGAACAATACCAACCTAAAGAACATTTGCGTGGGTCGCACAAATACTCAAACTGTCAGAAAAAGGGTAATTAGAAAAGAAATGGTGAGGCAAAGTCTCGCACGGTCCTAGCACTAACAATTGTTAAATAAAAAGTAAATGTCAAGTTAGAACAACATATGAAAAACAATGTCACATTAAAACAATAATGTCAAATTGCATATAAAAAAAAGAAATGTAACTATATGTTACAAACATGTCAACATGACCTGTGTGGACGTTACAGCAGCTTATTCCCAAGCCAGACTATCATCTAGGTAGTCTTTTATTTTATAATAAGCTTTACTATAAAATTTATCTTTAATGACATTTTTAAATTTATTTAGACTCAAATTTTGGATATGGCTGGGAATCTTATTGTAAAAGCGTATACTCTGACATCTAAACGAACCACTTATTTTCTTTAGTCTAGTAGTGGGAACAACATATTTGTCTTTATTTCTCGTGTTTATATTATGTATATCACTATGTTTTTTAAATAAACTTTTGTTTTTATGAGCATATACTAAATTTTCATAAATGTATTGAGAAGCAACCGTCATTATATTAATTTCTTTAAATAGTTCCCTGAGAGAGTACCTCGGACTAAGATTATAAATTGATCGAATGGCCCTCTTCTGCAGAACAAAGATAGATTGAATGTCAGCAGCATTCCCCCATAAGAGAATACCATATGACATAACACTATGAAAATAACTAAAGTATACTAATCGCGCTGTATCTACATCGGTTAGATTTCTAATTTTTTTAACGGCATATGCTGCAGAACTGAGCCTTTTCGATAACTTATTTATATGTGGAGCCCACTGGAGCTTAGCGTCTAGGGTTATACCTAAAAAGACAGTAGAATCTACAGGGCTCAACTCCTCACCCTTAATGAGCACGCTGGTTTTCACATGTCCAACATTTGGTGTTGTAAATTTAATGCATTTAGTTTTAGTTCCATTTAGTAATAGGTTGTTGGCATTGAACCAGCGTACTATCTCCGAGAGAGCACTGTTCACATTATTAATAACTAATTGTCTACGTTTAAGTTTAAATAATAACGAAGTATCATCCGCAAACAGTACTATCCCGTGGTTATCCCTTACAAGGTAAGGTAAGTCATTTATATATATAAGAAACAAAAATGGGCCGAGAATTGACCCCTGCGGAACCCCCATCCTGACAACAGACCCGGTGGAGACTTTTCCGTTTATTTCGACTCTCTGAATCCTGTTACTCAAGTATGAGGTAAGAAGATCCAGAGATTTACCTCTTATTCCATAATGGGATAGCTTCCTGATCAATGTATCATGAAGGACACAATCGAACGCCTTGGATAAGTCACAAAAAATGCCCAAAGCGTCGCTTGAGTCCTCCCACGCGTCATATATGTGATTAAGAAGTTCAACACCGGCATCAGTTGTTGAACGACCCCTGGTAAAACCAAACTGGTTACTATGTAACAATTTATTTCTATTAAAAAATCTTTGCATTTGATTTAGAATAATTTTTTCAAAAATTTTACTAAATGTAGGTAGTACTGAAATAGGTCTAAAGTTAGTGGGGTCAGAAGTACTACCTGATTTAAATAACGGAGTTATTTTACTATTTTTCATAAGATCAGGAAACACACCGCGGTCGATACAATTATTAAAAATTAGAGCTAATAGAGGTGCTATAATAGCTATAACAGAGCTGGCAATGTACACAGAATTTCCCCACAAATCTGCAGTCTTTTTCTTATTTAAGGTATGGAAGGTTTTGACGATATCTGTACAATCTATGTGTTCAAAAGAGAACCCTATGCTGCAAGCTATAACGTTTTCTTTTAGTAAAGATTCTGCAACAGTGGGAGATGAATTCAATGAAGTCAGTAAGAGTCTGACACTCCCTCCCGCCTTTCACCTAGGCGGGAGAAGTCATTCGATGGTTTCCCCCCTTAAAAAATATATATTATAATGTGTACTAACATTAGTTTTTAAGTTAAATGTTACTAACGAGAACATGGACATGGTCTGAAATAAATGATTATTATATTAGAGGTATATTATAAC